TCCCTACTATCAAAACAGCATTTGTTCTTTTTCAGACTCATCATAAAGTCTTCATTTAATTTTATAACAGCGTGTTTTATTGCTTCACTGAAATATGAAGGCTAAAGGAATACTTTCTGTAATTCAGTAACCACCAATACTTAGACTGCTTTAGGAGAAATCTAGTTTTCAGACCCGATATTGAGGGAATACATAGAGTAAGAACAGATCTGTAGTCAGTACCATGCATTTGCACGTGTTAAGATTAATTTCTTTTTATAGCTATTTGACTATCTGTTGCCTAGAATTATGTTGAACTCACTGAATGTTATGATCAGAGTTATAAGAACATTGAGGTCCAGGTTATGGAAGTTATTAACACTGAAATTGTTTGGTTAAATAGCTACACTCCGTTTGCAAATGGTCCTGATGATACCCCAGAGGAGATTTTGGCTCGAATAGGCAGCGGAAAGTTCTCTCTCAGCGGTGGTTATTGGAATACTGTTTCAGACACAGCTAAGGCAAGTACATGTGCTTTGTCCTTTGGGGGATGAGAAATGGATTGCAATGTAACGTGTCGCTTGTAATGTCTATGTTATATCATATATGATTGGGTAAGTTCCACATATTGTTATTGTTATTTTAAAATACTGATCAGATCCTTTATGTGCCTAGAAATTTGTTTTCTATTTATGATCCTTTCATGTTTCAACAGTCACTTGCATGGAGGAAGAAAAACAGGTGTGCCTTGTACTACAGTCATTAACAAGTGTCCTTGGAAATATAGTTTATCAGTATTCACACACATGCACAATCGTCCGTGATGAGAAATGCTATAATAAAACTTCATATGGAAGCCTGACATTCAAAAATCATACAAATAGTCTAAATCAGGATAATGAAAATACTACAATAATTACCATGTGCTCCACTGATTCAGGCTAGAAAAATAAACAGTTTTTCACATTTTTCTGTTTGGGTCAGTTCTTCAGAGCTACCCAAGACAGATTCTCATACTCTTTCAGTAGGATTTTGAACACTCTATTCTTTTAAGTACTTTAAAAACTTTTGGTCCTTAAGGATGTCATATCTACTAAAAAACAAAACAAACAAAAAAAACAAACAAACAACAACACTGAAGTGTTATACTTTCTTTTTACTGCATTTGTACAAAGTAAAAATTTTAGACAACTTCATTTGTTTTAGAAGTACATTTTTTACAGCAAATAGATTCTAAAGTATGCAATATCCTTTATGCCCTTTCTGTGTAGCTTCAGTAAAGTGCTAAAGTTTTCCAAAAAAAATCGTTGACATATGTTGTGCTCTTTCTTGCTAATTGATTTATTGATGTGTTTTCTAATGTACTATTTTCATAGCTTAATCGTTTTCCCACAAATCATGTAATTCATTTGATTGACAAATCAACCTGTTAGAATAACATGTTTACACCAACGTGGTAGTATCAGCTTTGTATTTTCTTCAGTGCCATTCTGGTCATTTGTACTTGGGAGTCTAGAATAAACCAAAACCTGTGAGTTATGAAAAAATCTTAGATTCCTTTTTAATACTACCTTTATGTTCGAATTCTTAATTTGAATTACAAAACAAAGAATGTTTTATATTAAAATGTCCAGTATTGCTAATGTAACTTAAATTATCTTAAATCCAATTGTAGTTAACTAAATGTGTTTCTCCACAGGTAATTGCTTAATGTAGCAATGTTATTTATGCTTTACTCTTACTGACTGACATCTAAAGTTATCTATAAAATATTATGCTGCTGTATAAATTTGTTTTCAACACCTGGAGTGTTGTATGCAATTCTCACTACTATAATTTGAAAAAGATAAAATAAAACTGAAAAGGTGGTAGAAAAAGATGTACCAAAACGAAGCTGCAAACCTTTTCAGACGTCAAGAGCCACTTCCATGTGAAGAGGGTAAATAGAATATGGTGTTTTATCTCAGCAGAGCCGACTGACGTGACAGACAAAAAAGATAATTTCATTGATGATACAAAGAAGGAAAGACTAATTCCTTTTTTGTCATATGATGATTTTATTAGGGAAATCAGGAATCATTCAATTAATATGTTCTGCAGAAGTTAAACAAGAAACAAAATTAAATACTTGTTCATGTGGTTCACAATTGTGAAATGGTTGTGAAGTGTTTGAGAAGGGGGGAAAAACAAAAATATAAGCAGCAAAATTAGTTCGGAGGGGAAGAGGTAAAATTCACTACGGGTACTTTTATGGCCAGCAGAAATACTAAAATTCAACTTGCACAGTTTTTGGAAGATTGTTAGACACTGGGGAAACATGCAAAGGAAGGATCATCTCTGTTTTTCAGTTGTTCATTTTTCAGTACTCATTTCCTACATAGCTACTTATTTGTCATTATTAAAAAAAAAAAAAATACTGGTATAGTGAGGTCTTTAGCTCAATGTGTATATTTTTGTTTGTGTATTTTGCCTAATTTAATTGGATACTTTCCTATTGTGTTACCAAACATCCATTAAGTCATATAATTAAAAGATGCAGTGTTGGCATTGCTGGGCAGTCTTTCAGCTGTTTCAAACTGACGTTATGAACAGATTTTTATATCACTAAATTCTTCAGTTTTGAACTGTAGTCTGTTTTTAACTGAAATGTTACTGTTACTTGCATTGACTCTTTGTATGTTATTGACAGGACCTTGTTTCAAAAATGCTTCATGTTGACCCACATCAAAGACTGACTGCAGCCCAAGTTCTTAGTCACCCCTGGATAGTTCACTGTGACCAGTTGCCTCAATACCAGCTGAACAGGCAGGATGCTCCCCATTTAGTGAAGGTAAGTAGATACTTGTTAAGCTTGCTGTTTAGGCAAAATTAGTGTAAACAAAATGATTTTTTTAAAAAAAAGTTACTGTGGTATGTGTTTCCTGTAAATACTATTTCAAAGCTGTGATGACTGGGAGTTGCACCAAGCCATAAAGTGAACTTGTAATAGATTCATAGATTCATAGATTTCTAGGTTGGAAAAGACCTTAGAGATCATCGAGTCCAACCATCCCTAATCCCCATTAAACCATATCCTCAAGTAGATCATCCACCCTATTCTTAAACACATCCAGGGATGGGGACTCAACCACCTCCCTGGGCAGCCTATTCCAGTGGCTGACAACCCTTTCAGAGAAGAAACACTTCCTAACATCCAACCTGAATCTCCCCTGACTAAGCTTATGCCCATTTCCTCTTGTTCTATCACCCATCACTAATGTAAAGAGCCCTTCCCCCCACCTCCCCACCATCTTTTCTCAAGTATTTATAGGCTGTAATCAGGTCTCCCCTCAGCCTCCTCTTCTCCAGGCTAAACAGCCCCAACTCCCTCAGCCGCTCCTCATAAGTTTTATTTTCCAGCCCCTTGACCAGTTTAGTCGCCCTTCTTTGGACTCGCTCCAGGAGCTCAATATCTCTCTTAAAGCGAGGGGCCCAAAACTGGACACAATATTCCAGGTGCGGCCTCACCAGTGCCGAGTACAGGGGCAGGATCACTTCCCTGCTCCTGCTGGTCACACTATTCTTGATACACGCCAGTATCCCATTGGCCTTTTTGGCCACCTGGGCACACTGCTGGCTCATATCAAGCCGGTAGTCAACCAACACCCCCAGGTCCTTTTCCGCCAGGCAGCTCTCCAGCCACTCCTCCCCGAGCCTATAGCGATGCTTGGGGTTTTTATACCCCAAGTGAAGGACTCTGCACTTGGCCTTATTAAAGCTCATGCCATTGGCCTCAGCCCAACGATCCAGTCTGTTCAAATCCCTCTGAAGGGCCTCCCTACCCTCAAGCAGATCGACACAGCCTCCCAGCTTGGTGTCGTCCGCAAATTTACTGAGGGTACATTCAATCCCCTCATCCAGGTCATTGATAAAGATGTATAATAAGATGTATAATAAGATTTCATAAGAACCCAGTCATGAAGAATAAATCTAATACATTTGAAAAATACTTTCATTGTCTTATGTTTCAAATTTATTGGACTTACAGTGGGAGGCTAAACTTCCTTAAGAAACCAGCACAGAAGAATCATTCTTTTGATAGTGAAAATGTTGTCAGGTGACTATAGGGGAGCTGAAAAATAGTTTATTTTGGCTAATTTTACAGTTTCAGAGGAGGCTAATCATCAGTGACTGAAAGAAAACAGTATACTTCATGATCACAGTATAAGCTAAAAGGAAGTCAAAAAGGCAGTGTTAATTAATATGGTATCATACTGTTCTGCATTCTGTCTGAAACACAGTCTGGTTTTGACCCAGATAAACTTCTTCACTTTGAACAAGCAGAGAGGAATCAAAAATAATTCTCTGTATTCCACCCTGCCTTCAATCCTACATCCAAGAATCCTTGTTATGCAACACGAAAGAGATCTGAAGAATATAATTAACACTGAGTCAGCTATTAGAAATTTTTAGCATCCAAAAACACAAGCGGAAAGAGGAGGAAGTTCTGATCCCATGGCTTACAACTTTTTTTTTAAATAAATCTTCATGTGCTGAATAAAGTGGGAGATTTTAAAATATTTTGTTAAAAACTGAAATGGCTGTATAAGTGATAAGCAGAGACGGCCCACCAATGGGGTTTCATTCCCCAACTATTTCACAAAGCATGGAGAGAGCACTTAATTGAGCAATCTGGGTTTGGTTTTTTAAGCAAGGTAAAATTGCTTTAGATTGATCTGAAAACTATTTGTTACCCTAAAAAACACTCACTCCAGACACTGCTGGTGTTTGAGTAACGCAGTGGCCTGTTTCTGTTTTGTAGATGAAAGTAGACTGGAAGTTAAAACTTGTTCAGAATCTCTGGCGCTTTAGCGCTGTGTGATCTCTAGCATGTGTGTCAGTCACAAGGTACTCCCTCCTTTTTTTTTTTTTTTTTTTTCCCTCCCCCCCTCTGCCCCACAGGGTGCAATGGCAGCAACTTACTCTGCTTTGAATCGTAATCAGTCACCGGTTTTGGAGCCAGTCGGCCGTTCTACTCTTGCTCAGAGGAGAGGTATAAAAAAAATTACCTCAACAGCCCTGTGAAGTGACCTCAACCAGATTTTTGGTACCATGGCATAAGATGATAGCACAAATGATGGCGACAGGTAGCACATATCTGACAGATACCTGCAAGCACACTCTGTCCCAGCTGGTACCTATAATGCTGCTGCTCCTGCTGCTGCTACTGCTTTCATCTGTTCTCGCTTTAAACTGTTAATGGCAAGTTACTGATCTTACTGGAGCTTCAAACAGAGTGACAAGTGGAAACACAAGGAAAACGATCATGTTGACGACTGAATAAACCAGAAGAGTTATGAGCGCCACCTCTGTCAAAAATACACTGAATAAAGCACTCTGCACCACATAGCATTATTTTTATAAGGAATATTTTTTGTCCCCTAAGATATTCTTCGTTACAGGTAGAGATGGACGGTTTATGTTAAGCACTTAGCTTAAACAATCTGTTTATATTAGCACTATATACTTCGTGCCATCCAACATTTTGTATGTTTTTGTAAACAGTTCACAAGCAGTACGTTTCTGTGCTGTTTCCTTTAATGTATACATGCCTTGTTTTACTTAGATATTATTAATCATTTTGACAATTAAGTCTGATTAAACAGTTCACCTGGATTAATCAGTATTGTCAGACAGCTCTAAAAGAAGCCTGACTGTTAAACAGCTATTGAATGTAATACTATGAATATGTATTTCTCCTTGCCTATGTCTTTTCTACATTTCCATGGTTTTGATGCTGCATGTCATGTTATGAAAATCAGGATACTGTTTATAGCAATCAAAATTTAAACAGTGGATCTTTCACCATACTATATATACAATAGGTAATATAACCCAGAGAAAAGATAACTTGCTCCATATCTCACTCTTGTCTTCTGTTCCCTCTTCCCTCCCTTTTATTCTCTCCCATCTAATCTCTGGACTCAGGAATCATTGCTAAATACTTTCTGATAGAGGACATTTCTGTATTGTTTATTCTTATAATCCATTGTTAATATTTTATCTCTATTCTGTGACTTTTGTTTAAGCTGCAAAGGATTTGTTCAGTGAATGTTGGCATTGTAAGAAGAAAAGCAGCACTGAAGATAAAGCAAAACGTATTGTCTGCTAATAAGCGGAAGCCTGTGAAAAGCAGGTTTAAGCTGCTTTCATTGCGGTTGCAAAACTGATGGATCTCATATTTTGTCTTTTCTGATAATTTTAATTGACAGCCAAAGCAAAATGAGAATCAACCACGTGTCTGGAGTTAGAGAAGGGTCATTACAATTTCCCGTGAAAATAGTATTGTCCCAATCAGGTAAAACAAAGCTGTTCAGAGTGAGTGTTCTTGCTTTTCCCCAGATGGAAACAAGTTTGTAATGAGGGTGAAAGCCTCATTTTAAATACTAATATAAACTTTTAATGCTCCCGGCCTCTCAGTGTCTTAAGTAATTAAAAGCACATCTTGATGGCTGGTCTTGAAAGATCAATTGCCCACATGAGAAGGTGAACTGGAATGTGTTGAATTCAGCGAGAGTCCCACTCCACCAAAATGACATGCTACATCAACTCATCCAGATATGAAAATGGCTATTGGGAAATCAAGCTTCAGTAAGTTGTGGGTCTGGGTGAACAGATCTATGTGAACAATACAGTTAAACTAAAAGGTGCAATTTTGTGTTTTGCATAAGAAGGTATTTTCTTGGTTTAGTGGTATTAAATTTCTTTTATAGTGATTAATTTTATAGTTTCCCTGAAATCATCAGAGGTTTGCTGAAAGGGAGAAACATCTTTATGACACCACAGATTTGCTCTAAATGAAGGTGAGAGTGTTCCTTCTGCCACAAGTTTTTCTGAGTTCCTTGGGGAAGATTCCTTTGTTAGACTTGCAAAGAATCCCACTTTTATTGCCCTTAAAAATCTGTTGAATATTTAATCCATTATATAATTGCTAAGAAATTGGTTTTATGAACATGGATTCTTAAATTACCATAGTTCTCAGAAATTTGAACACGCAGCTCTTCCAAGCAGTTAGCGGTTTTCCCTTACTAGGTGCTCTAGCACTGAAGTTCCCTTTAGCTGGACATACACATCTGCCCTTCCTTCAAGAAACATCTTTAAATAGAAGCAGAAAAAGGCCATTTTACTTTTTCTTTGACAGTGTCTGCAGTTCCAGAGGAATTTAGGAGAACCTTACCTTTCAGAAAGTGTATTTTCAGCTCTGTGAGCGATTGCAAGTCAGGCTCATCAAAACCTAGAAACCGTACCTTCTGGAGTGGCTTTTAAGTGTGTTCATCTTAAGGTTGTCGTATCCAGTCAACAAACAGGATTTAAAACTGCTACTGTTGAAATAAAGGGATGACAGTACTTGGTAGTGTGTCAATAATAGCATTTCAGTTCAGGAAGGAATTCCACGTGTGTTCTCAGTGTGCATATATAGGTACCTGGCCAAGAACCAGTCAAAAGGAGGAAGTGTTAAGCTGCTTCACTATTGGCAATATTTATGTTAAAAGAACACAAAAGTACTTCCAGTAATTTTATTTTAGCCATATTTTGTGGCCCTCAAGCTCACTGGTCGTTAGCCAAATGCTGAAGCAAAGTTAACTCCTGCATTTTATGTATCCACGTTCTCAAGCAAGCTGTTAATTTAGTTCTAGACTGTACAGATGTTGCACTATGTCACGTATATAGTGGCATACGATGAGCATTTTAAATGCTAATACAACAGGGCAGTTTAGCACATGCTAACTGGAACGTGTTGAAGTCTAGATCCACTGTATTTTACTTTCTAAACTGAGATATAAAGGGCTCATCTATGCAGGAGGTGTATTTTACAGGCTAGACTTACATGGTTTTATGTACCTTACCTCCTGGTTTAGATCCACGTTCACAGCTTTCACATGGATTTTTGTGGGTTTGTGGCTTCAGTTGTTAGAAGCTATAAAGAAATCCACATAATGCTTTTTTGAATGGCAGCGCCTTTCTATTAGAATGTAAGTATATATGACACGCTGTGTGAATTCATTGCTGGACGGCTTCTCGGTCTGCAAAGCATAGCAAGCGACTCTAGGATGCAGTCATAGAAGATAAAAAAGGAGAACTGCAGATACAGGTGAATTTTCTATATGTGGGCCACGGTTTAATTTTTTTAGTGTTAAATTACCACTTACTTGTGCTTGAGAGCTAGAGAGAACAGAGGGAAGAGCGTAGCTGCAATACTCGTTAAATGCCATCTATATGCAGTAAGGGCAACGTTCTTTATTCATAATCACTATAACGTTGAGTGAAACTTACAAGGACTTTTTCAAGAGAATATTTAAAACTTTTTTCTAAAGAGACAAGGGCATAAGAAAATAGATTTATGTGTCTGGGATTTTTTTGTGTGTTTTGCTTTTGTAAATGTGGTGTACCAACTAAAGCTGTGCTTTTCTATTATCGGAAGGAAGGGATTCAAAGTATGCCGGTCCTTAGTAAGCAGCAATGGTTAATAGATGAATTTTCACTTATGAAAATGATGTAAATGATTAGCTTTATCTTGATACTCTTGACCTAATCAAAGGGAAGGTGTACTAAGGAGGGATGTAATTATTTTGCAACCTTGGGGGGAGGGGGGCGCGATCTACTTAAAACATTTTTAAAAAATGACAAAATCTCAGATAAAATATTTTTCTACAATTCTATACAATCAATACTTTATACTAGTTTTCTCAGCATGGCATGTCAGTGAGTCTAAGGTACTCTTCCAGGAAGTCAGTGGTATTGTACCTTGTTCTAGACCATTACAATAGCATCTGTTAGATGCTTGGCACTGCTGTCATAGAACTGAAATGCTAGTTAAAAAAAAAATAAAAGTGTACTGAATACTTTAAATGATTGTTTTATTCAGAGTCTGATCTAGGAAATGTTCCAATCATGCTATTAATGTGTAAGTAGAACTCTTCCAGATGTAACTATGAACAGTTCTGGAAAGATATCATTGCTTGTACTCCTGTCTAATGGCAGGTTTTGTAGTCTTCAAAAGAAATTGAAATTTCTACTATGAATAAACTTTCAGACATCTTAAAAAAAATAACGCTTTTTTGGTTAATCATTTGTCCTGCCCAGTTATAAAAGTAGTTGTTTGTTTGTCACTAACAGTGAACTACACTTGCAGCATACCAAGTGTGCATTTCCAACCAGAAAGAGTTTATGGTCAGCGTTTGTCAGTTAAAATGTCGCTCTATTACAGCATATTTATTCAGATCACTCTTAGTAAAGTAGGAAAAACACTAGTAATTCAGTGCATATCCGTACATATATATATATATTGGTAGCAGTAGTAGTAAATTGTTACTATCTCAACCCACGGGTCTCTTTTTTCTTCGATTCTCTCCCTCATCCCTGGGGGTGGGGGAGTGAGCAACTGTGTAGGGTTTGGTTGCCGGAGCGGCCTAACCCAGGACAGTGCTATAGACCCAGTGTATGGCACAGCAAGGCCAAAGTGCAAGAATATTGTATTTTAATATCCTGTAACGACTCTAGTCGGCTGTAGAGTATGACTTCAAGGGAGGCTGCTCAATAATACTTGAGATGCCTGTGTTGCTCCGGACATTGAAAATAAAGGCATATTTGGTAATTAATAAACCTTTAAACATGTGAAAAATGAGTACATAAGTACTCCATGAGCAACATGCCCACGTGTTTCAGCAGCCCACACAACTTGGAAGCTTACAAGGGTAACTATTTTAGCCTTGCCACCTGGAAAAAGATGGAAGATTCGGAAAAGTTTGCATAGTCTACGTACCATTACAGTAATTGTGATGGAGAATAGATGAGGACTGTACCCAGAGGCCTTGCCAGGCGTACCAAAGGAAAGCAGTAAGGGGGCGTGAAGGGAGGCGCGGCAACAGGCAGCACAAAGCCCACGGAGCCGGGGCGAAGAGAGAGGGCAGCGCCACGGCCCGAGTGAAATTCCCACCTCGGACCCGAGGCGCGCACCGCTGCGGCCCCGCGCCCGCACAAGGCTTTATCCTGCCCGCGTGAACTAAACGGGATAATCTGTAAACCTTGAGAAGCTCTGGAAAGGAAGGAAGCGGGGTCGGTACGGCACGGCATCCCGACGGCACCGCCTGGCTTTACTTCAGGCTTTGTAACCGTTTA